TTGCCCAACAATATTACAAAAAAATCAACGTAAGTCAACATTCGCTCAAAACCATTAAAAAATCAACATAGATGAACATTTGCTCAACTTACATCTAAGTTTAATACAACATAAACTTTCAAGAATACAAATGCGTACTGCTTCTATTATTATTATTATTTTTTATAAGAATGCAAATATGTGTTTGGCAGTTATTATAATATTTTTTTGCATTATTGTTAGTTTCAAACGTTATTAGATAGTGATTTTTATAGAGATATTTTTCTTTATCACTAATGGTAGTTTTTACTTTAAGTAACTCGTGTGAAAGTTTATGATAAAAAAAAAACACAACTGAACCGCAGTGAATCAACAGTTATGAATCTTGCGTAGTTTTTCTCGCTCTGACTGAAGTACTTTTTGACAATCTTCGTAGCAGGTGAAATTGAGTTCATAAACAGATGGTTTTATTTGTTAGCTAACAGTCTATTGTCATAATAAACAATTTATAAGAATACATTTTTTTCCTGAACACCAACACGTTATAATAAAAATTTAAATAAAAACAAACAGTAGCGAGCCTCCTCTTAAAGAAAAAAATACTTTGTTAAAATTAAGAATAAATAAAAAAATAAAAATGAATTGCTTCCCCTAACGTTATCTCCCCTCCACTCTTGCATCACTAGATATTTAATTTTTTCCCTCCTAGACTCGTCAAGTCCTTAAGTAATGAAGTTAATTATCCAGCTACCTAATGACAAGTTTGATAAACGTCAAAAAAAAATTCTTGACATGCAAACATGCCGCATCAACAAACAGAGGGGCTGTACCTCCACCTGGCTGCTTCAATCAAATATGTTGGGTAAAGTTTGGGGGTGGGGAGGGTGGGGGTGGGGGGTGGAGGGAGGGGGTGTTAGGATTTAATGTTAACTGGTGGGGCTGGGGGGGGGGGGGGGGGGAATGAAGGGGATTGAAAACATCCCCCCCAACACCGTATTGATGGGAAGAAAACACAGAAGCTTTAGAATAATATGGGTCTAGAAGAATTGAAGCTTTGTTTATGTTTGTCATGTATTTTTCTCAGTTTCTTTGGGATGGGGTTGGATGGTGGTGGTGGGGTGGGGTTGGATGGTGGTGGTGGGGTGGAGTGGGGTGGGGTTGCTGGTTTAAAAAATAAAAAAAAAAACATTTACTTACTTCGATATGAGGTTGATCTGAGATAGCTGTGCTTGTCATTGGTAATGCTTGTTTGTATTTATTTGCGAATATGTATGCATGAATTATGTATGTGTGTCTGTTTGTTTGTGTGTGTGTGTGTGTGTGGTGACATGTATTAGAGCCTGTATTGAATCATGTGTGGGCTCCCACTAATTCTATGGTAATCCATAACGCCTAACACGACACCTATCTTGTACCGGTGGCTTCTAAATATAGAATAAGTCACACCACATATCTGAATCCCACACAACTACCAGCACCCACAACACCGTAGGGGTACCCGCGTTATATAACAGAAGTAACGTAATACAGCGGAGCCTCGGTGTGATACCTACATATATTAATGAATGCTGAAGTAGCATATATAATGTATACTTTGTCTTAATGTAAGAAATACTGGAATGTAAAGTTCTCTTTTCGAACATGACGGTATATGGCGCAAGTGTAGTAGAGTTCACCTGTTTCTTTGATTTTGACATATCAAGTGCTAGTGTTGTCAGCACTTTGCCCAGCAGCTTGTACTTGACCCATCAGAGCTGGGTGGACGTTCTTCTGACTTAAACCCGGATTCGAACTCTAGACTTTCGGATTAACATTCTAGCGCTCTACCGCTAGGCCACGCCGTCGCATAAAAAACACTATCCTTATGCATCATTACATTAATTCCATGTGATCATCTCCCCAGGTAAATGGGAGCCCGTCCCCACCATCCTCCACCCCCAGAACGACGTCATCTGCTACCACTGGAACCGGAAATTCCACGGTCCAGCACTGCTGTGAGAACGGGCGGCCCGTGGTGACGGACCCCCACACGGGCCAGAGCGTCTGCTCCTGCCAGTACAGCTCCGCCCTGCTCTCGTCCTACTCCCGGCTCCCGCTGGCGTCCAACATCTTCGGCCCCGGGGGGACCTACCCCGCCGGGTCACAGTCACCCTACATGCCGCTCGGGGCGGAGGGTTCGGCCTTCTACTCCCCACTGGTAAGTACTTAGTTGTACTGTAAGTACTTAGTTGTACTCGCCACTGGTAAGTACTTAGTTGTACTGTAAGTACTTAGTTGTACTCCCCACTGGTACGTACTTTGTTGTACTCGCCGCTGGTAAGTACTAAGTTGTACGGCGTACAGAGGTTGCATCATGTAATAGTACATTAGTGCTTAGACACAATTGGGTAGTGGTTATTAGCTGTTGTGTACTCTATCCCTTATCCACACCGCCCAAAGGTTTAGTTTAGTTGAACCCATACTGGATGTGACATAATTCCAATTGTCATTGTCATTAATTTCTATCAGGAGCAATCATATTATTAACTTATAACAATAACTGTTATATTATTTAAATTTCAATTAGGATTACGAAGAGAGTTATGACTAATTATGTAGAAATTAACTTTAAAATTTAACTCAGCGCAGATACTGTTTGTCTACTATAGTTCACAATACAACATACTATTTATTATAACATTATATTAGGTCTACATTTATTATTTTATTTATTTTTTAACTTGTGCTAACTATAAGGAAACCTACCCTAAACCTGCACCATAATTCTAAACGTAAGGAGAAACGTTTTCTATGCGCCAAAAAAATAAAATGTTTCTGGTCAGTATGTTGATTAAATCCCCTCAAGCCGAAGCTAACCCTTTAATCGCCAGTATCATCGTTACCTCTAGTTAACTACAACTCCCACGCCCCTACACCCCCTCCCCTGTGAGGTGGTTAGAAAAAAACCCCTCCACGAATGTCTTGTAATCTCCTAGACATGTTCACGTTGTACAAGCCGGCCTTTGATCGCTGGATCACCCCCTGTCACGTGGTTTCAGATGTGATTCCACTTCAGCCAATCAGCCTTGACGGAAGGTGAAGGGGGGGGGGGGGTGTTGTTACAGTTAGAAGCAAGGGGTGGGGGAGGAAGAGGAGAGATTTAAACAGTTATAAGGTCAAACAGGTTGATTTGAAATCCTCGACTTACGCTTGTCTGTTAGATTGAGAAGCCGGGTCAGATGTAAAAACAAATTTTCGTGAAATATTTCTCGTGTTGAACACGGCTAATTAATTTAAACATGGAAATAATTTCATTAATTGGGACGGATTGACCGAAGCGTAGAGCACACAGTGGCTGGGCATAGTGCTGACCACACTATCTTTTCATATGACGATGCTATAGAAACAAATGAACTTTAGTTCACTTGTTCTACGGACCGTCAGGTTCGAAAGAGAACTTGACTTTTTAAATAATTTTATTCACTATAGGAATTTGTGTACAGCTGCGTTAAGATAAAATGGGACAAAATACATGATAAAAACTGTTGACAATATATGTTGAAAATATATGTAAATAAGAATGTTAGAAATATTTTATATCTGAGATGAATAAATATTGTTGTCTGAAAAGTGACTCGCTTATAACTAGATAGAAACAATGTCTTTCACGGGAAGATTTTTATACGGAAGATTTTTCGTTCTGCCACTTGTCAAAGAGAAAACGGGTCAACACTTTTTGACACGTTTTGTTAACATAGGCCTAAAACTTGTCTAAATTTAATACCAAAACTCGTTTTTGTTATTAGTAAAAGATGTGTCGGCATTGTGACTAAGTGCTTGTTTGATATATAACCTAATCAACAGTTGAAAACACAAACACAGCAGCTATGGAATAAAAATCACAAATATCAGCTGCTATTTATTTCATCCTGTTTAAAGATTAACAATCAAAAATTTAAAATATAAAACAAACATCAAAAGTTTTCTTGATACAATTGTGTTCTATAACTCGCATCACACCGTACCATAACCTCTCACTACCTCAGTTAACGGGAGCGTATAACCAGGGGACTGAACTCTAGTCGTCCTAGCCCGCACGATTATCTCGCCATTACCGAGGGCGCTGGTTCGCCGCGGTGGTCCCAGCATGGGGGCGCCTGTCAAATGAACGAGCCCCGTGTTTAGATTCGATCACCTCAATGACGACACCTTGGATGGGCTCCCCCCCCCCCCCCCACTTCCCGGTTTGAAATAAGCGCGGCCAGACAAAAACTACTCAAAGTAGAAATAAGAAGGGGAAGGGGAGAGGGAGGGGGTTTGCTGGTGTTATTGAAAATCGCATTACAAGTCGATGGATTGACTTCACGGTCGAGTTGAAAGGTCGCAAGACTTCAGACACATCAAACACGGCCAGCTGGAAGGATTAGACGTCACGTGATAAGTGGGTCAAGGTCAAAGGGACGGACTAAAAATAAACAAAAAAGCAACGTACTGATAAAAAGGTTTATAACTATGGGACACTGGTGTCGTAGCTGAAGTTGTTTATGTAGTTTGTGTGGGTTCGAGCCCTTAGAAAACAGAATGTTTACAACGCGTTGATTTAAAATTAAAAAGTTTTCAACGTATTGTAAAATGTAAAGAGGTGAGACCTTCAATGCTGAGACTCACAACGATGCTGAAAGCAGAGTGGAATAGTGTTTTGTTTGAGAATCATACAAATACAACAGACAGATGTATTAAAAAAAATAGAATTTAGCTCAGCTCAAGTATTGTGATGGGCTCATGAGGGCCATGGTCGTAAAATATGGGATATAAAGCTTTGAAACAACATGGGAATCTTTTAAAAATGAAGTTTACAATCAATTTTACCATCGAATTGAAGTTCAAGTTTACAATAAAAGTTTACAATATAATTTTTTTAGTTGATATCGTGTTTTGGAAATGCTTTTTTACTGTGTCAAAAAGTTAAAACACTTTTGTTAGTTTGATTGTGAGTCGTCTGTTTTCTCTGCCAGGGCGCCAATGGGAGCAACATACGAGACGGGAGTGACGCCTGGAGAACTCTGACTCAACCGTCGCTCTACGACACGTCCGCCATGGGGTTTTACTCTTACGGACCAGGGTAAGTAACTCTAAACATAGCATTTTTTGGAGGGTGTAGTTATAAGATTATAAGATAAACCAGATATAGATTATAGTAGTAATACGCGGGTAGGACTGATGAGCGAACTGTATAAATATGCACATTTAAAAAGATTAATTGAACAAGTTCTAGTGTGTAATTTTATTGTGTTGTGTGTTCTAGTGTGTAATTTTATGGTGTTGTGTGTTGTTAACTTTATTGTGTTGTGTGTTGTGGTGTGTAATTTTGTTGTTTCGTATGTTGTGGTGTGTAATTTTTTTGTGTCGTGTTGTGGTGTGTAGTTTTATTGTGTCGTGTGCTGTGGTTGTGTAATTTAGTTGTGTCGTGTGTTGTAGTGTGTAATTTTACTGTGTTGTTTGTGTCGCAGGTACGGTGGCCTTGACCTTAACGCCCGCCGGAAGAACGCGACACGGGAGAGCACCAACACACTGAAGGCGTGGCTCCAGGAGCACATCAAAAACCCGTACCCCACCAAGGGAGAGAAGATCATGTTGGCCATCATCACCAAGATGACCTTGACACAGGTGAGCGGTTCTTCACCTTCCAATAATCTCACCTTTACCTTCTGAGGAATGTTTCTTCTAAGCTGGGCGTGATCTCAACCGTGCATTAATTTTGTAAAATAAAATAAATAAATAAAAACCCAACTTTGTATAAGTCGTATCAGAAAGCCATGCTACACAAAGTACATAAGACACACAGGCTTTTTCTTCATGTTGGTTCATATTTCGTAAGGCTCCTGTAGAGTAATAAGATATTCAGATTATGTATACTATTTAGGCTATTCCGGGAAATTGAATACATTTTCAATCAGTATTAACAACCACAATATAAATAAACAACTTTAATAGTTATTACGGAATGATTTCTAAAAAAAATTAATACATGAAGTTCAAACAACTGAATGTTCAATGACGTCATTAAGGTGTAAATTCATGGTGTGACCATTTTAAACTATCATCACCATAATATTTTCCTGGTCTTGTCCAGTACCATTGGTCAGATGAAGTAGAGTTCATCTGTTTATGCTCGGCACTATGCCATCCATCACGTGAGTCGGGTACCTAATAGAGCTGGATGGGCTCGGAGACGTCCTACATCATCGCTGCCTTTATTCGAACACGAACGTCAGGGTTAACAGTTGTGAGCTCTAGCATCCAACCACGCCGTTCCCAATAGTAAACTAAATAGAACATGTTTAGTAGATTGTGATAGTTTTAAAAGGTTTCCAATCATATTTTAATATTCTTCTGACATTGTTGTGTGAGATCATTTAAACAATTGAAGATTTTAGTATCATGAAGACAAGTTTTTAAAATTCATAATAGGGCTGGTAAGTAGGTCACCAACCAGTTATACGTCTCAATAAAACCTGCATGAGCCATAGAACTGGTTGTTGACCTACTTACCAGCCCTATTGTGTTTGACTGATTAGTTAATTAATTAATTAATTAATCTCTGACCCCGTCACCCCAGGTGTCCACGTGGTTCGCCAACGCCAGAAGGAGGCTGAAGAAGGAGAACAAGATGACCTGGTCACCCCGGAACAGAAGCGAGGATGGTGATGACGATGACGACGACGATAACAATTCTGACTGTGGTGACGACAAGAAGAGCACAAACAACAACAACAACAAAGGTGAGTTACAGCATCCACACCACATACATGCAACACTACATCCACAACACAGATATACACCACAACATCCATAATACAGACATGCACCACAACATCCACAATACAGACGTAAAACACAACATCCACAACACAGATATGCACCACAACATCCACAACACAGACTTACACCACAACATCCACAACACAGACTTACACCACAACATCCACAACACAGACTTACACCACAACATCCACAACACAGACTTACACCACAACATCCACAACACAGACTTACACCACAACATCCACTACACAGACGTAAAACACAACATCCACAACACAGATATGCACCACAACATCCACAACACAGACCTACATCGCTGCATCCACAACACAGACTTACATCACAACATCCACAGCACAGACCTAAAACACAACAGTTGCAACACGGTTCTACAACACAACACAACATCTACATCATACACCTCAACAATCACAACACAGAGCTACACCAAAACATCTACAACATAGACGTAAAACACAACAGTCGCAACATAGACAAACACCACAACATCCACCACACAGACATACTCAACTTCCGAAAAAATAGTCTTAGTAAACATTACGGAAGAAACTAAACGATATATGATTTTGTTTACAAATAAATTAGTTGTCACTTCTAGAAATCTGGTTTTAATCAAGGAAGTTTCTATTCAATCCCCCCCCCCCCCTTTATTTCGACTACCCAACTTGAAATGAAACAATATTGTCCCCCAATGTTGGGTTACTTTAACATGAATTCGTCTAAACGTTAAGTTTTCACACGCATCACGGTACGGCTACTCTTTCTTTAGGACTACAACACATTGTTGCAGGCGCTAACCCAAGCTGCAGAAAATCATAACCGTCTACCCTGTCCTTATTAACTGACCGTGAGCTTGCCCAGGTGTCAACACCAAATTCCTAGTCTAATTTTAGTTTATCTGCATTCCCTTACCACAATCCTCTCCCATTTTCTACAAGTCGAGACTGCATTCTAAGTCTAATTAATTATTTTTGTTAATTTGGATTGCCACCCCACGTGAAGATTTAATCCTTAGTCTATTTTTTTTTATTAAACTACGCCCTCCATTTCTCACACATCCAGACTAAATTCTTAGTCTTATTTTAGTTAACCTGCACCCCCCACCCCCCAACTCACACCACAATCCCTCCCCATTTATCACACGTCGAGATTAAATCCTTAGTCTAATTTTAGCTAATCTACGCCGCCCTCCCCCCGTCAACTTTCACGCCTCCACCAGCCTAAAGTGTGAGCTACCGCCAACATCGCAGCATATGAAAGACATCATTCGGCTTTTTGATGGTCATAATAGCCGCGCAGTGAAAAGCGACCGGCCACCTAATCCGTGTCCTTTTAACCGGAACTCTCCACATCAAAGCCGGAAGTCAGGCATCAAAGCCTCCATCTGGAGGACGAGGCGCAGCGAGTAATGCAAGTAACGAGCCCTCCATCGAGGGGGCTATTCTTATCTGCGGCCCGCGAGTCGGCGACCCGCGCGTTCTTATCTTATCCTTGTCTGAGTTTTCCTACAAGCTCCCCCGGGGGACAAGGCGGAGTTGGGGGGGGGGGGGGTGGGGGGTGTTGGGATTGTTGCTTTTGTCATTTTGTTTCTTCTGATCAACGAACTCCACCATTTACCGGAAGAAGAAAATGAATAAAACAACTATCTCTGACAAGTGAATACTTACTTAGAAAAAAATGGGAACAATTTGTTTAGCCGTACCCTATATTAAAACATCAGTTATTTTAGGTTAATAAGGCTTGAGTAGGTCTACTTGTAAAACACTCTCATGGACATTGAAGAGTAGAAATATCTCAACCTTAGTCAAAGTCATGTTATGAACAGCAATATCATTCAGACTTCAAAATGATGTCAATCTCAGTTTAAAAAACAAAAGAAAAATAAAACAACAACAAACAAACAACAACAACAACAACAACAACAACAACATATAGAAGACACAAACATTAAAGATACTCTTGACATAGCTAAATTTCTTTATAATTTTAATTACATCAAATAGAATTAATCCACAAGTCCCCCCCCCTCCCCCCCCCCCCCCCCCACACACACACTCCCATCCCTATCTGGAATTTAAGATTACTATAATGCCCTCAAACATGGACGAATGTCATGACACCGGAAGTGGTTGAATAGATGGGGGTGGGGCATAATACAAGACACACTCTCACATGATTTCAGGGTCCATTGAACGAACCCTTGCTCCAAAACATTGATACCTCAAAGGATTCTCTCCAAAAATTTTTTCGGCAAGGGACGTGAATCATAAAAGCCCGATTACCGTACTTGATTCGCTTTATCTGCTAGCTCTGACAGTGGGAAGGGAGATAACTCAAAGACGTGGTATTATTATTGTTGTCTTGCTCTGAAGTGGGTGAGGTGTGGTGGTTAGGGAAAACGGTGTTGGCGATGGGGGGGGGGGGGGGGGGGGGGGGGAGGAAAGGGGGGTGTGTTTGATATCTACTAAAAACCCAATTTTTGCTATTGTCATTTAAATCTTGTTATTTCCAAAGTGCTTTAATAGAAAAAAAGGGGCGGGTAACTCTTAATGACATTTTTAAAAAAGTAAATTAAGACAAGATAATACAACTAGTTCTACTACAATAGTATAAAATCAAGACAACGATATGAGTTAGTAGACGTAAAAGGGACGGGCTGGGTGACTATTTTGAATGAAAATGTTATTTTGATGTACACACGGTTCATTGTGTCCGCCCCTCATAGCGAGAAGTTTGGCGAAAAACATTCTAGAGCCGGTCGTCGCTGGTCTTATGGCGCGGGGCATGAATGGAATCTTCGGGATGATTAGCACACAAGCTTGTCTGCTAATTCTAATCTTCCTTTCAAGTGGGCCTGACTCCGACGCGATGCCAGGGAGTCATTGTGCCACGGCGTGTGTGAGTGGAGTCAGACTTTCAAGACGCGGAAGTGAGGGGAGACTCTATGTGACCCCCCCCCCCCCCCCCACCCCCCCCCCCCGTCCTCCTTGCCTCGTGACAGCCGAGAACAACCCGAGCGTGAGTCGAATGTAGGGTGGGGGTGTGTGGGGGTGTGTGGGTGTGTGTGGGGGTGTGTGGGGGTACGGTTGAGCAAAGTTTGCTGTCAGTGTGCAGGCTGATGCAACGTTTGTGTCCAGTCACGTGATCTCCAAAAATGAACGCACGCGCGCGCGCTGTTAACGAATCGTGAAGCGCTGGACGGGAAACGACGTCATTATTCCAGGCGCACGTGGCCTTAACTTTGACGTCACAGTTCTCACCCACCGTCCCCATACCCCCCTCTTTTCATCTTTTCGAACGTGTGTTATCTGAAAGCCTTGAGATATCCATCTGGCTTTCGTTAACGCCGATACCCCCCGGGCTATTGTCGTGCAATTCTCCCACAAAAGCCCCACCACGGAGACCTTATTGCCGACCCGGCTCACGCCTACTGGTGCCATTGCCGGCGAGCGTCCGCACCCGGGTCCAGGGCGTATCGCCGGTACGGGAGCCACGTGATCGCCGCTAAATCTTTACAAAGACCAGGCGCTAAAAATTTCAATGACACGTGATACAGGCGGAAAAAAAGGGCGCCCGGTCATTAAACGTCCATCTTTCACAACACCAATCTTACGGGCTGCTTGGCCCCACGATTATACACACCCGCACAAACACACACAAACACACACGCAATATGTACAGCGAAGCGCGTTTGCGCGGCGGTCCTGGGAATTCCCGAATCACAATCGTGAACACATTTCCTTTGAAAGGGAGAGTGGCCGCAGAATAGGAAAATAGAGGCAAATGTTTTTCTAATGAAAAAATCTGTTGCCGATTCGACATGCGATGTTTTCAAATCAAACTATTTAGCATGTAACATATGGCTCAGAGAAAGCGAGATTATGTAGGCTAATAAGTGCACAATAAAAACTCAGTCAAGTAGCGTTAAGTCATATTTTAAAAAAAAGGATTGTATCGGATTAGCAACACTGAGAGTTTCAAAAATTTAATCCTAATTATTATGCACGGTTCGATCAATAGTGCACTTTTAAAATTCTATTCTATGATATTTTAATTTTTGCATTGAGATCAATTTGTATAGTTTTCCTTTCATACAATTCATAGATGGAGTAGAGTCCATATGTTTCTTGATCTCAGTATTTTAAAGGAGTGGTGTGGTTTGCACTATGCCCTGCCACTTTTACACTCCCTAAATTGTCAGGTACTCATTAGAGCTGGGTGGACTCAGGGACGTTCTTTATTCTCGAGTCTGTACCGAGATCCGAACTCGAGACCTTTGGGTCAACAGTCGAGCACTCTACCACCCAGTAGGATATCTTGATGGATAACTTCGGAAATTTTAATCGTGCTTTAGAAACACACCTGAAAAGGCAGTTATGCCCGTGAGCGTTGTTTCTTCACTTAAAATATTGGTCTCTATATAAATTAGATGATTTGTTTAACTTCCGGGCTCTGGCCAATCCAGAGTTTCTTCCAGGCATCTCTTCGGGGAGGGGGTGGGGGGAAAGAATCTCCGCCCCCCCCCCCCCCCCACGAAGAAACTCTACCGCCTCCCCCGAACGAAATGGAATTTATATAGAAAACATATATTTTTACTAGTGTCCGCCTCCCCCGGAAAATGTTGACCGCCCCCCCCCCCCACCGAGAAAAAAGTCTGGAAGAAACACTGGTCCAATCACTTACCGACGTGGGATAAAGGACTGGGTTAGAGTTTAAAAATCATGGGTTAGGTCAGGATTTGGGTTATAGCTTGGGTTAAAACTAGAGTTAGGTTCAATGTAGGGATAGTGATATTAAGATAAACCTAACCTTGATACGAGACGCCACCGTTTTGACAAATACAGATATACCTATAATTCTATATAAATCTATATAAATCTATATAAATCTATATAAATCTATATAAATCTATATAAATCTATATAAATCTATATAAATCTATATAAATCTATATAAATCTATATAAATCTATATAAATCTATATAAATCTATATAAATCTATATAAATCTATATAAATCTATATAAATCTATATAAATCTATATAAATCTATATAAATCTATATAAATCTATATAAATCTATAGGCCTTATATTCATATCTTTTTTTCTTTCTTCTAGAGCACAAAGATGAGCAGATTGACGTGGTGACCGAGTCCAGTGACCCGTCAAAGTCCGGCGACAAAAGACCGGACATCTCGTCCTCCAAGAACCACGAGAACGAGATCAGCCACTGCCGGCTGTCCCCGGAGCTTCCTCGAGGCCCCGCCTACATCGCCGGTGACCACGCCCACCCGGACATGGACGCGGGCAAGCCGAAGATCTGGTCGGTGACGGACTTCCTGGGGTCAGCCCCCCACAAGGACGCCCTGGGCTTCCCCAAGCTCGACCCTCTCAAGCCGGACCTCACCCAGGGGAGTCTGGACGCCGCCAGGTCCAACTTGATGCTGGGGCGGTCACCCACCGGCCCTAACGGCCTGTCCCCCATCGCCACCTCCGCCCACCACATATCAGCGTACCAGTCGTCGCTGGGGTACACCCCCACCGGGTACCCCTACTCTCTCTCCTCCTACGGGGGTGGCAAGCTGTTGAGGCCGTCCGTTTCTACTGCTGTGTCACGCTTCAGCCCCTTCCCGTCGGTGCGCTCTATCGGAATGGACTCGCCCTACGTCACCAGACGTGACGTCAGCTTGGCAAGGGAAGGGGAGTAACTCCCAAATAATGTAAAAATAAAAAAATAAACAGGAGGATTGCTTGTGAAACAAATAATACTTGGTGTTGTATAATCGTAAGTATCTTCACTTATATTAACACAAAAACGTCAAGAAGTTATAACATTCATAAAAAAAAAACGATGTTCAATCGTTTCGCTGTCGATGAGACGATATAGACATCGCCTACGTATGAAACGGATGAAACACAGACAGACATTGCCGGTGGAGCTAACGGTTAAAAAATGAACAGGTGTTCGAAGGTAAATCTCCCTACTACGTCACTAACATATCAGAGTTATCTTATCCTGTTTAAAAATAAATAAATATTCGGAGATACCTCGCGAGTAACTCATCACTAAGATGATTCACGTAACTTTATTTCTAAGCACCAACCCACCTTATCGGAGCGCGAGCCATAAACAATAAAGCATTGCGGAGGAAGTGTGTGGACGACGATGACGTCATACCTCAGTTTGAATTGAGGTCACCCTGACCTTTGCAGACCTGACCCACAGACCAGTACACGGTTTGGATAAAATAATATCGCCACAGCAGATAAACACAAACTGTAACTCGTATGTGTGGTACTCGACTCTACAAACTGTAACTCGTATGTGTGGTACTCGACTCTACAAACTGTAACGCGTATGTGTGGTACTCGACTCTACAAACTGTAACTCGTATGTGTGGTACTCGACTCTACAAACTGTAACTCGTATGTGTGGTACTCGACTCTACAAACTGTAACTCGTATGTGTGGTACTCGACTCTACAAACTGTAACTCGTATGTGTGGTACTCGACTCTACAAACTGTAACTCGTATGTGTGGTACTCGACTCTACAAACTGGAACTCGTATGTGTGGTACTCGACTCTACAAACTGTAACTCGTATGTGTGGTACTCGACTCTACAAACTGTAACTCGTATGTGTGGTACTCGACTCTACAAACTGTAACTCGTATGTGTGGTACTCGACTCTACAAACTGTAACTCGTATGTGTGGTACTCGACTCTACAAACTGTAACTCGTATGTGTGGTACTCGACTCTACAAACTGTAACTCGTATGTGTGGTACTCGACTCTACAAACTGTAACTCGTATGTGTGGTACTCGACTCTACAAACTGTAACTCGTATGTGTGGTACTCGACTCTACAAACTGTAACTCGTATGTGTGGTACTCGACTCTACAAACTGTAACTCGTATGTGTGGTACTCGACTCTACAAACTGTAACTCGTATGTGTGGTACTCGACTCTACAAACTGTAACTCGTATGTGTGGTACTCGACTCTACAAACTGTAACTCGTATGTGTGGTACTCGACTCTACAAACTGTAACTCGTATGTGTGGTACTCGACTCTACAAACTGTAACTCGTATGTGTGGTACTCGACTCTACAAACTGTAACTCGTATGTGTGGTACTCGACTCTACAAACTGTAACTCGTATGTGTGGTACTCGACTCTACAAACTGTAACTCGTATGTGTGGTACTCGACTCTACAAACTGTAACTCGTATGTGTGGTACTCGACTCTACAAACTGTAACTCGTATGTGTGGTACTCGACTCTACAAACTGTAACGCGTATGTGTGGTACTCGACTCTACAAACTGTAACTCGTATGTGTGGTACTCGACTCTACAAACTGTAACTCGTATGTGTGGTACTCGACTCTACAAACTGTAACTCGTATGTGTGGTACTCGACTCTACAAACTGTAACTCGTATGTGTGGTACTCGACTCTACAAACTGTAACTCGTATGTGTGGTACTCGACTCTACAAACTGTAACTCGTATGTGTGGTACTCGACTCTACAAACTGTAACTCGTATGTGTGGTACTCGACTCTACAAACTGTAACTCATATTTTTGATACCTGACTCCATACGTTATGGAAAACCTATGGCCAAATGAGGTTACAAAAAAAAAGATATTTATTAATTAAAATTGTATATGGTACAGTTTTAATTGTCTTTGTATAAAATAAAAATTAAAATCCCCCAGCTTAATCTATGGATATTTTTCTTAACATTTCGACGACGGCAATTACTCGTTTGTTGCTCAAAGAATGGTCACATGTTTTGTTTGTTTACAATCTAGTCCATGAACTTCAGTTTTATTTCATGTGCTCTTTCCTGGAAGATTTTATTTTCCTTCACGAATGATCAGATTTTATGCTTTTGTATACATATAAGTCCAAAATTATTTTTTTTTGACTGATACTTTGTAATATTTGACTTGCACAGTTGTTTCTTCGTCATTGGTTTTTTGAGAACAGATTTCTACTAGGAAATTTCAAACAACAGGCCAACTAACAGATGCTTAAAACACCTCCCCCCCCCCCCCACCAGCTCTGTTACTGTAGTGTTAACTAAATATATCAATAAGAAGGTAGCATTTGTTGAAGTATTTTTTTTATAAAATATTTTTGTATGATCAATTTTTAAATTTCTAATTTGCATAAAGGTCAGGAATTTTCAATCGAAGTCATTCTTATTTTATTTCTATTGTACTGTTTATAAATCTAATAGTTATGATGTTTTTTTTTTAAACAACAAACAAAAGCGGAAGTTGAAGTAAATTATAAAAAGAAATATTTGTATATATTGTATTTTATAAATTAAAGTATTTGCTTATCTGTTCACAACAAATTATATTTTACTTACAATGTTTTTCCTGAAATGATTGATTTCTGTTTTTTAAAATGGATTAACTATGATCGTTTCTTCGTTCTTCTTTACTATCATAATTAAATATCTCTCACCCCACGTGACAACCCCCACTCACCCCCCCCCCCCCCCCCCCGCCACCGAAACCCCTTATCCCTTAACAAAAATAAAAGAGGTGTTTGGTAAAGGAGAATATAATTGCTATCTCTAGTCCACATCAGTAAAAGTGACCATTCATGATCATTTCAAACCAGTTCTGTTTCTTTGAGACCATTTTTTGTTTGGGTAGTGAAAATGCATTCTGTAAGAAAAATAGTGACATGAATTTTTTTTACACACAAACAGGTTCACGATAATGGCGTAATTTTCGTATACTAATGTAAATACTATGCGACAGAGTACAGCAAAACTGATGACGTCATATGAGCTACTCGTGTAACCATGGCGATAAGAACGCCAAAATATTTTGACTTGTTGTGATTTCGTGTATTTGCAAGCAATAATACCATGTCCATATCAGCGTTTGTGCAAGTTTTTTTTCTTTGTATGTCTGTATATACCAACATTAGGTTAGTGTTTACATATACATTGAAGTCAGTGGCATTTGCTTTTAAATGAGAGAGGCAAGAGAGAAAGCGAGCGTGAGAGAAAGGAGAGAGAGAAATTGAGTATTTGTATGAGAGAGACATTGGGTCGATTTATCAATAAATGTGAACTTAAATTTTTTGTTAACTAATTTTTGTTAGTTGTTACTATGCGAGCAAATATTTGGATCGGTACCCAATTTTTTCATGTATATTTCCCCAAAACGAGGTCGCAAGTCCTAACTCACCTCTCAGAACGAGGCTGCTAATGTCTCATATTATGTGTACATATGTATGTCATGAAGACGATTTAAACTGTTTATTTTTATTGTGATTTCAATGTTTCGTTTCTCAGTTTTAAGTTGCATACTATAATAACACATCATTTAAAAAAAAATTTGGAAGAAAATATCAAAATAAAAAAAATGACGATTATTAATGTGTATGAGTATATTTTATATAGTTTTTTTTAAATTAATTTTTTTTCTTATGGCAGGTAAAGTAGAGTTGACCTGACTTAGTATTTTGTTATCACCTATCGTCAATTTACGTATTCCCTAATTAAACTTAATACCTATCTGATGAGCTCAAAGTTGTTCTAAAAATAAATCCTGATATCCTGGTAGCGATACACGTATTTAAACTCAGAATTTTACGTTCATCACTATCATTTTATTGGGTCTCATCTGGAGCTAAGGGACGCAACCACACTTGATTCCTCCAAGTTGGGTCCACGACATTCCGGCTGATTCTGCTTCAATGACAGCTGACCTTACGTTAAAGATTATAAATTCTAGTGGAATGACCGTTGAAGACAGGACTTATTGAAAACAAATCGTGCAACAAAGATAGAGGCCTTGAGATGACAGAGGGTACATAGGTCAAAACTGATTTAGGTCCAGTTTTTTCAAAGCTGGACATCGGACTCGATCTTACAGTTTAAGGTTAATTTTTTTTCCGGACATCGGTAATTTTGTTACACAGACAAACGTACGGAACGCAGCACTACAACACTGTAACATCAGGTCGACATGGAATCCACATTGTCTTTTTCTCTTCATCCCACTTCCTCAGTAAAGAAAAGTTCCCTTTTCAAACCTGACGGTCTATAGGGCTATAGGGCAAGTGAAGTAGAGTTCACTTGTTTCTGTGACTTCGGTATATGAAGAGATAGTGTGGTCAGCACTATGCCCAGTCGTCTTTACTTTCCCTAACGTGAGTTAGGTACCCATCAGAGTTCCTCAAGCGATACAATATCCACACTGTCTCTCCCCATCCCACTTCTTCAAGCGATACAATATCCACACTGTCTCTCCCCATCCCACTTCTTCAAGCGATACAATATCCACACTGTCTCTCCCCATCCCACTTCTTCAAGCGATACAATATCCACATTGTCTCTCCCCATCCCACGTCTTCAAGCGATACAATATCCACACTGTCTCTCCCCATCCCACTTCTTCAAGCGATACAATATCCACATTGTCTCTCCCCATCCCACTTCTTCAAGCGATACAATATCCACACTGTCTCTCCCCATCCCACTTCTTCAAGCGATACAATATCCACATTGTCTCTCCCCATCCCACTTCTTCAAGCGATACAATATCCACACTGTCTCTCCCCATCCCACTTCTTCAAGCGATACAATATCCACATTGTCTCTCCCCATCCCACTTCTTCAAGCGATACAATATCCACATTGTCTCTCCCCATCCCACGTCTTCAAGCGATACA